TTTAGAACAATCCTATCATAAATGGATGATATCCGAAATGACACAGGTAAAAAGATAAGATTTCGGTATAAATGTGCAAAGTGACATAGATCGGTTTCTAGACATTTTTCTTTCTATTATAAACAACGTTTTCCTCTCCCACTGAAAAAATGATTTCTCTTTCTCCACTAATTTCCCTTTCCTTCTTATTAAGATGTACGTTACTTTAAGAAATATTGTACTATCGAGATATTAAACTGTTCTTAAAGAAAGTTATTCTTATCATCTTTTAACAATTAATTTGTAAGACTTCGGACAATTATTGTATAATCATTGATGATCGCTGTTTCCAGCACAAGTACGTTTCAATTAAAGCAACGTAAATATGTATAAAAAAATGTTCTCATGATTAATATATTTTTTAAATAGTTTGGAAGTCTTGCGTTCATACACAGCGTTCAAAAAAGAGAAATCTGTAACATTAAGATATTTGGGTGGAATTCCAAAAGGGTAAATCCTTCGATTTTATTGTCGATTAGTATACTGCTGTATTTTGATGTGCTGATTACGAATATGATAATGAAAATTACAAGATCATTTTGACATTTGCTGCGCAATCATCTGGTTAAGCGTCACTACTCAGCATGTTTGTCAGTACATGTTGTACTGAAAAATGGATAGGACGTACAATTTCTTTACGATTTCCACCTCACTTCCACGCGAAGCGACTTTCACCTCACCTCCACCTTTGCTTAGCGGCGCACGTGAAACACTCGAAAAATGTGGAAAAAATCGGTTTTTAAATATTTGACCTTGAAAATGACATTGTCGACAATTTTCATATGTGTAATCAGGGCATCAGGCAAAATATAGTAGTATGTCAAGCGACAAGAAAATCGGGGTGTTCACTTTTTCGGAACGCTATCCATATTATGAAGTGTAAAAAAGAGGAAAGATAATATTAATTATAAATAAAAGCTTTAGAAGTTAGCGCAAAAAAAAACACATTGTGAGATGCACAAATTCTTCATTCAAAACTTTAATTCACATTAGTCACATTTAATATTAAATACGAACGTTTTAAGCTCAGATTTAAGTCATCAACGTAATATCACTAAAGGTTGTAACCGTGTTCGCGAGCGACGGCACAACTTCGTCGTGTCCTCTTAGCTCTCCTCTTACGTAAAACGTACTTTTTCACTCGACAACGTAATATTTCGACGGCGGATTTTCGGCAAATCTCTTAGGTTTTCACTAAATAAATTGAGCGCCAGGCACGAGAGAGCGTGCCACTCTTTCGATAATCTTCTTAACTTTTATTCCTAAATTTGCGACGACAGGGGTGGGTCGTCAAAAGTGGAAAAATTGTCGGAGGACAAGAGAAATAGGTTGTAAGAATCACACCTGAGATAATAAAGAAATAAAGAACAGTTGTATTTAACGAATCGGTTACATGAATCGATTACAATCTCCGGAGCCTCGCTCCCTCCGCTGGACTCGATATAATCAATTTTCACGAAAGAGACTTACTAACGCCGGGCGAATCTGTGATCCACCTGAAGTTACGAACTTGGACCGGCAGCTTTACAGCAGCGATGGCGACGCTAGTCTTATTCTCGTGGTCCTACTCCTTCCGCTTTTCTTTTCGGCAATCTCGCTCGCAGCAGTAATTCTCGAAAATTCTCTCGTCAGCGGCACGTTTTTTACAAATCGTCGGTTCAGTCACAGTACGAGTGAGGCCCGGGAGCTTGTTGTGGATTCATGCAGGCCGTTTGCCCCTCTTTCTCTCCTCCCCTCAGGGGGCCGTCACGCTCCTGCTTATTACGCTGTCCGCGTGTGTTACAAATCCTTGCTCTTAAATGCGCGTAATATAATTTTCTTCTAAGGGCTGCTTTTCTGCCTAAGGTCCCGAAACTTCCCGGGCTGGCAGGGAAATGTCATGGCAACTTCACGTCAGGGACATATACTCCTGACGGACGTCCGTACGGTCCTTTAGATGGCCGGGAATTCTCGCCTCCAGTCAAATTCTGCAAGGAGTGCGCGATATAAGAAGGTTTTAAGGTGGCAGCGGATTACAAACAAATTCAAAACAATACGACCTACGTGTCCGGACTTCCGTGTGGGCGGCCTTCCAATGTAGCGTCGCCTCTTCTTTCTTTCTTCCGATATTGTCTTCTTTCCCCCACTGACGGGTGAGACGACATAATTACAGAATGACATAATAGCTGGCGAGTGCGATCCGTGGCGATCTGAACCTTAATTGTGAGACTAATCACTAAAGAAAAAAAAAGTTTTGACAAAAAGAGAAGAAATATTAAACAAGAACAGACAATTACATTCGCAGATCCACTCGCACGCGCCCTCCTAGCCGGGAGGATACGCGATTCTACTGCTGACGGCTTCTCGCCAGTAATGGACACAAATTGTCACATTACAAGATATAATCAATTACACTTCCAATAATATCCGCAAACACGCATTATCTCCGCAAATGTTTTCTATAATCAGCTGCAAGCCAAAGGATAAAGGTATTTAGAAATCCTTGAAACTCTCAAATCAGTTCCATAGAATGGAAAGGATTATGTGTATCTTAGACTCCATTGTTGCAACAGCATATTAAATTTTGACAGTTGTAAATTCGGCAATCTAGAAAATATTAAAAAATTAGTTAGAAAATTGGATAAAAATACTGATTAGAAGACCGAGCTCCATTGACCATATATATTATGATCAAGGTTATGATTCTGAATGATCTCCAACAGATTTTAATCGTCGTTCATTATTCGTAAAAAACGTTATTAATAAAATAAATTTAAGAAATAACATCACATTTTTGCTATACATATTCAATATTAAGTAATATCCTATACCTTCCCTGTTTCAAAATATTCAACTTTTCACGTGAAGAGAGGTCTATCCCACTTCCCTGCCTAGGAGCGCACGACTTTCACGTAAATCAAGGTCTACATATACCCTCCTGCTTAGAGGCGTCGAGGTCGTGCAAGGAGAAGAGGTGAAGTAGATTCCGCATCGTGTAGAAAATCGTACTCTTCTAGTCGGTTCACTCTATACCTCCCTCCTGTCTATAGTCGTCCAACTTTTCACATAAAGTAGTGAAATAATCACCAACTTTGATTGTTAATAATTTTTAACGAACGATGAGTAACGGCTGAAGCCTGTTGAAGGTCACTTAGAGTCATAACATCACCTTGACAATATATAATATGTCATTAGATATTCATCCTAATCAGTACATTTACCAAAAATTGAAATATAATAGAATAATTCAATGCATTCGTCAAAGTTACTTCACTGTCAATGATAAAATGACTTATTTGTAATTAATATTGTTTTAAATTTCGAGGAATTCTGAATTGGTTTATTTTTCAATTTTTTGTTTGTGAATAAATGAAGAAAGATTACCTCTAATAAAAATCACATAAATTTTTCCCGTGTGTTGACTAATGAAAAAAATAAAAAAGATATATCAGAATTGTACATTTATGCCGATAGCGTGGATTTATGTATCAGTTTCTTTATGTTTCAATTTTCTTGGGTATGTTTATGAGAATGTGTAATTTGATTGTTTTTTTGTAGAAAAGGTATATATAAAAATATTTCATATACTAGCTTGATCAAAAAGTTTCCGGAATTCATTCAGAAAATTCAAAATACAAGTTTATTCATCAAAAGTGATATTGTTCCCTTCAAAGTACTCTACAGCGACTGCAACGCACTTATGCCAGCGCTTGATCCTCTCGAAACATTTCTGGAACTCTATTATTGGTATAGCCATCAGAGCCGTCTTCGATTTTTTCATTACCTCCTTTCGGCTATTAAAACGCGTTCCCCGCAGGTTTTTTGACTCGATCGAACAAAAAAAAATCGCAGGGAGCCATATCGGGTGAATTCGATGGCTGTTGGATGGTATTCGTTGTTGCAAACTCGTTATTGCAAATTCAACTCCATTTTTAAAACTGTAAAAAATCGAAAACACACGCAGAGGTAGATGTACTCAAGACGGTGTAATTTTTACAAATGTCAAGCTATGGCGATAAAATTTGATGGAAATGTCAATGATAGATGTGGCAACCTAGCCAAAGAAAAGAACTCAAATCAGCTGACTCAGAGCATCACCTGGTGGTCTCTTCCGGAAACTTTTTGATCAAGCTGGTATGTTCTATTTCAAATTAGTTAACACTAATATAGTAAGAATATGTATATAGATGTCGTATGATATTAAATCATTGATATCTTTTGAATATATAAATATGTGAAATAAAAATGTCCTTTTTTACAGCCTATTATGTGCCATCGTGGCAAATATCATCAGTTGTTATACAGGCAACAGAATAATTTGTCAGAAGAACAGTTTTATTTATGCAAAGTTAAATTTGTAAATTATTAGTAGATTCTTATCTTGTTATTGAAGCAGTAATGATTTCGCTATACAATACAATTTGCTAATAATAAAATTTGCTGAAATATAAATATTTAATACATTCTTTTAAATTGAACGCAAGTGTGGCATGGTAGACAGCACACTGATTTGTCGTGCCAGGGATCTTGAGTTCGATCCCTGATAGTAACCAAAGTATTTACGCTCGTGTCTCCTCTTAGAAAAGGTCAGCAGACTCCCGAAAATATCTTTACCCATAGAAATACTTTTCAAGAAATCCGCGGTTTGGAACCGGCTTTAAAACTGTAGATCCCATATATTTGTGACAATTGAATAATTAGCGTGATCATCACAAGCATGTGCGATAGATTTGACATAGGCTAGGTGCCTAACATAAGAAGAAGAAAAAGAGGACAAGATTATTATATAAAAAATGATTTTATTTTAATTTTCAATAATATTTTTTCATATTTTGTCAAAGGAACAATTTTAAATTTTGTTGCAAAATTTGAATAATTGCAATTATGATAGCAATTTTATACCAAATACAAATCATTTTCTCTTCGTGCTATCCAATATTTTGCGATATCACGTTGTAATTAATAAATGTATTGATTCGTAGATATTATGGACTGCACTTTCGATAGTTTTGGGTGCTGAACTGAGAGGAGACTTGATACGGGGCGCACCATGTATCAAGAGATATCATCAATTGTTCTGTCCGACTGCTGGCAACACATATCCAATGTGCGTATGAATAATTCTATTTGTTGATATTCTTAAGACTTCCACGAATGTTTTTTATATAAAGATTATGCATTTTGCGAGTTTTCTCCGTATCCAGATCCATTTTTGGAATGCCCAAAACATTCCAAGAATGGATCTGGACACAGAGAAAATCCGCGAAACGCATAATCTTTATAATTCTATTTGTTACTTTTTAATATGCTTCTAGAGATAATGTTACATCTAACTACAGTTAAACAAAACTTATTGGAGAAAGTAAGAAAACTTAAGGGCAATGTGCAATTAACTAACATGAATTGTAATTTAATTAAATCGATTTTTGCAGAGACCGCATAGAACGTTTTATTGACGAAAATAAAGCGTTAATGAAAAGAATGTATGGTGATTTTGAGATGAATCCAGAGTCAAATGAACGCGGGCCTCATACTAAAACGCGAAGAAAAAGTAGAGAAGTGCGAAAGCATGATATCCTGGACGGTAAATCCAGAGATGACTCACATATAGAAAGTGAAATTGACAAAGAGTATTTTAGTAAGAATAGAAATGCCAGACAATCTTTTGGGAAAAATCGCAGCACAGGCAGGTGAGAGCCATAAATGTTTTTATATTAATATTTTATATTTAAAATTAAAATTATAAAATTTTAGAGGCTCAGCGAATTAATAATTTATCAAAAAATTCATATAAGGGTTAAATGAGCCAATGCATGTTGTCGGTGCCGAAAAAATATATTGTTACAATTTACAAAAGTCTTTCGAACGTTTCGATTCTCGATGGAACTATCTTCAATGGATACATAAATTATATTACATATGTTGTTAACATCTTGCGTCTGTTCCTCATTATTCCATTCCGCTGACATGTAAGCTTTCGTCCTGACGGTCTATCAATTTTCATATATTCTAAGCCAGACTTCACTTCCATAATTTACACAAGAATGTTCACTCGATATGATAGGGATCTCTATTCCGAATGCATTCTAACATGAAGTAATTGCAATGAGTTTTTTATGGAACGACGAGGAACAGACGTAAGATGATAACATATGTATTGGAAATGTGTAATAATTTTAAAGGATTTTTTGGTAAAAATACGGCTTTATTGTAAAAAAATGGTTATAAATTGATCATTCAAAATATTGTCCATCGCTAGCCACTACTTTTCCCATTTTTCTGGTAATAGATGGATTCTATGCCGAAAGAACGATCTTTTGAAGCTATCCAAGAATCGACCTATTTTTTGGTATCTTCATAAGAATGGAAACGTTTCTCAAACAGGCCATTGATCGAAATAGGTGGTAATCGGAAGGAGTAATATGACGAAGAATATGACGGATGTGATATCCCAGTTAAGCGCTTCTAATGTTTCCTTAAGCGATTTCGCAACATGTGGCCGAGCGTCGTTGTACTAGAAAATCACTTTGTCGTGTCTTTTCGCGTAATCTGGCCGTTTTTGCTTCAATGCTTGGCTCAATTGCATCAATTCTTGGCAGCGTTCTCCAATGATGGTTTCGTTGGGTTGGAGCAGCTCATAATACATTACACCCAGCTGATCTCATCAAATATAGAGCATGAGCTTGGCGCCATAAATATTTGGCTTTGCCGTCGATGTTGATAATTTGCCTGACCTGCACCATGATTTTTTGCGCTTCGGATTATCATAGCGTATCTATTTTTCATCACTTGTCGATACGATGCAAAAAACTTTTTCTTCTGTATCTTTGAAGCAACAATTCACAGATTATTTTGCGCCTTTCGACGTCCCTTAGCTTCAACTCGTACGGCACCCAATTTCCTTGCTTTTGAATCATTCCAATAGCCTTCAAATGGAAATCGTTGATTGATCAACATTTAATGATTCTGCAAATTCTTCTTGCATTTGATTCGGATCTTGATCGAGTAAAGCTTCCACTTCTTCGTCTTCAAATTTTTTCGGCTGGCTTAGACGTTTCTTGTCTTTCATGTCAAAATTATCTTTTTTGTCGAAACCAGTACTTACATGTTGAAATAGATGGATATAATTACCATAAGCTTCTGACAGCCTTCCTTTCAGCAGCATTTTTCTTTAAATGGAAGCAAGAAAACAATGGTGTTTTGAACAAAGATAGCAACAATATGACCCGATGCGATGTGGTTATTGGTGCGGCTGATGTGCCCAATATGGCGCCGAGAGTGTCTGGGCGCTGGCGATTACCAACTAACGACGAAGGACAATTGGCGGGAAATCGTTAGGTTGCAAATGAATGCTACTCACTAATTCTGACTGTTATGCCATAAGGCGATTTAATACAAACTTGACTAATTATTTAACAAATATAGATTACAAAAATATAGACGTGATTGCGTGCGTAAAGCGGCTCGGATGCCGGCATTGCGTCGCGAGGTTAATAGGAATTTAAGAAAATATACACTGAGTATTTATCCGACGACGCTAACAATTATCACAAGACGGTGATCGGTATCGATCTCGCAATGTACACAAAGTAATTCGGAACCTTAACTTCCGAGTTTTAACTTACTAACTACCGCAGAGACTTACACGAAGTCTGCACGCAGTACGCCATGACACCAGAGAGAGCGAAAAGGAAGAAGAACTGAAAAGAAGGACCAACTTCAGCGCCGCAGCTAACGCTCGTAGCGCCGCAACCAACGCTCGCAACGTCACAGCGACTAGTACTAGTTACGCCGTCTCTTGAAAATCCTTTAAAATTAATGCACACTCTCAATAATATAATTTATGTATCTATTGAAGATGGTTCCGTTGAAAACTGAAACGTTTGGAAGACTTTTGTAAATTGTAACAATATATTTTTTTGGCACCGACAACATTGACTCATTTAACCCTTATATGAATTTATTATTTATTTTTACGAGGGGCATTTTAAAAGTAAGAGTCCCAATCATAGAAAATTAAAATGAAGGATAAGACAATTATGAAACTACCTTATTTTATTAACTTATATCTTAAGTTTTTTTTTCATATAATCATCATTAATTTGTAAACATTTGCAATATGACATTAGTTTTTTGATATACTATCAGAAATATAAAAGAATGTATCTTTTTGGAACGGAACTATGACTTTTAATTCAGCCTTGATTTCATTGTTTTTGTCACTCAAACATTTTTTAAGGGCAGGAAAAAAGTGAAAATCACTCGGTGCAAGATTTGGAGAATAAGATGGATGAGCATACACAGGGTGTTCATAAAAAAACCATTCAGCATTTATATGATAGATGGTACACCATACTGAGTAAAAAAAACTTTAGTGAACATAGGTCAAAAACTCAATCAAAATATAAATATTTTTATATGTTAACATCATGAATGACTTATTTGCTATATTTAAATGCGATTATCTATATTGGGGGTGGAGATTTAGGGCTACCAGAGTCTCGATTAATTCTAAATAAGCCTGATTCACAAAGACGTTGATGAAGATTTTGAAACAGTGTATGAGAGAAAACTCTTCGATTAGGAAATTTTTCGACGTAAAGACGTCGTGCAACAGAAGCATTTCCATTAGCTGGACTGGTAAATATCCTGTTTAGATGATCCTTCTCCAATTAACTTTACATATGTTGTCAAGGTCACAACTCTGAATGACCTTCAACAAGTTTTAACCGGTATTCGTTAAAAAGTTATTTAAAAAAAGTTTGAAAAATAACGTCTTATTTTTGCTATATACAGGATAGAAATTAAATGTCAAAACTTCTGAAGTGTGTAGAAAATCTAAGATACGATAGAGATTACGATAAACTAAGAAAAATGTCTTGTAGAGATATGCTCATTTTTGCTTCGTTTTGGAGAAAATCGCAAAAAAGACAAAATATAGTTGCTTCGTTCTTGCACTGTCCTTAAGTATTATTAAAATATTAAAATCGCTACAATCGTACAAGAAGACAATAACAATTCCGTTTTCAGCTGAAAAGTTTTTTTGTTTGTTTTTGTCTGGGAATTATTTTTTTTATTCGATAAATTAGGTACATCCAGATGTACAGATTATTATTTGGAGACTGATTTCTTTAATTATTTGGAAGACATCCACTTGTAACGACGGATTGAAATGTGGTTTCAACTTGATAGAAACCACATGTCCAGCTCTTTGTGGTGCAGAATTACTCGAGCTTGGCTAGAGAGACATTTTCCACAACGATGGGTTAGACAGGTGGAGGAGTAGTACCTTGATCACTCCGATCGCCTGATTTGATACCACTGGACTTATTTGTGTGGAGGGGATACTGAAGCAGAAAGTTTATTCGTCGTCCAAACCAACTCAAGAGAACAATTAAGAAATCGATTCAAGGCTGCACCAAATATCGCCAGATTAGTATTTAGCTGCAACACGAACTGTCCATACTGGATGCAATGCTTGTATTGCTGCAAGAAGCCAACATTTTGAACAATACGTTAAGCAAGTGAATACAACGTGAATAAGTAATGAGAAAATATAAAAATGAAAACTACGTTTGGCCTTTTTTATGATTTTTTTTTAAATGAATAAAAAACGAGTATATCTCTATAAGACATTTTTTTCTTGTTCTTTTTGATTCCTTATATGTTCCTGTAATTTTGATATTTAAATTCCAAATACCTTGTATAATATTGAAACAATTCTATATCCTTCCTTACTTACGTAATAATTTTTCACGCGAAACGACTTTTACCTCCCCATCTGCTTGGCGCACAATTTCCCCGCAAAGCGACACCTATCTTTCCCATTTTTCCCCCCTGTTTAGGAGCACAGGACTTTTTATGCGAAGCGAGTTTCATCCCATTTCTCCAAATTTTTTCGCGTGGAAGTCGTGCGCTCCTAAGCAAGGGGAGAGGTGGGATGAGAATTGCTTCGCGTGAAACTCGCGCGCCTCTTAGCATGGGGGAAGTGAGGTGAGAATCGCTTCGCATGCATAATAAAATATATTTTAAAGCAGAAAATTTTTGTATTATATAGTACAATGAAATACAGTGAAAAAACATCATTTTTCACATACTTTCTTTTTTAATAACTTTTAAACGAGTAACGAGCGACGGCTAAAATCTGTTGGAGGTTACTCGGGATTATGTCCTTGACAACATATCAAGGTCAAGGTCAGTGGAGGAGGCTTCCCTAAACAGGATATTGCAGGGCGTACAAAAAATATATATTTGTCATGTCTTGATTAGAATAATACGTTGACATTTTTAACTACGATAATATATAACCGTGTAATCATCAAATATATATAATAGATTCTCAATCATCCGTTGATAACAACTGACTGATTGCCGATGAAATGTTATGAAGTATATATCGAATGAAGGCCTACAAAATGCAATTGATAAATACTGAAGTAAATATCGCATGCGACATGAAGAAGCCAATAAGTCATTTATGTTAACCCTCACTATTCACATCTGAAAAAAGTATCTACCCACATCCGGATATTTGTAACCCATTTTCTTTTGCTTTTATTTCAGAGTAATGCATCGATTTCAACTAAATTCTTTTTTAATCTATCGTTTAAAGATTAAAAAAAAGAATTTTTGAGTTAGAAAGTCTAAAATATCGTAGCACAAAAGATATTTTGCAGTAAGTGGAAAGGAG